CACCTCACCAAAAGAGAGGACTCTCAAGTTGGACTCACTTCCTCGCGGTAAGAAGAGATTGAGAGAGTAGATAAGGTAAGGGAACAACGTACCTGGAGATAGCTGCCCCAAACCACAAATTTCTCACCAATTGAGTTGAGTGTGCATTTGATGACCGGTCGTAGCCTCGGTACCACCCACAACGCAATGCAGTGCCACCTCAGCTTAATGCCACATCAGCATGCTCTCATCACCAATCATATATTCCACAGTAACCACGGCAACCAATGTCGTAAAGCCTTCCGGCGCACACCTCTCTACCCAGGTCGTGCGCCTATTGTTGGCCTGACGTCACAAGAACAAACTGCGAAGAAGCATCATCAATGCACCAAGTCTGTATAACGCCAGCACACCAAGGTAAGTGGCGAATCGAACCAGCTCCGATACCAAAATGCAAGGAACATGAATGTGGACGAAGCACAGAAATCCAGATTGCAAGGTAAGTGGCGAATCGAACCAAGGTAAGTGGCGAATCGAACCAGCTCCGATACCAAAATGCAAGGAACATGAATGTGGACGAAGCACAGAAATCCAGATTGCAAAATCACACTGAAGTTCAAGTAGTCAAAGCAAGAGCAGATAGCACAAAGGAACCGAGTAACCATCCATTTGAGAATGACACAGAAGAATCGTGAGTCAATGTCCAAGCCCAATCGGGCAACACCAACAGCATAACCCAATGTAGCTCTCTCTCTTGAATGGCGCCTGGCGCCCTACCTACTCTACAGCCTATCACTACAAATACAGCATGAAGGCAACCAGACAACTTGACGACCAGCGAGTGATGATGTCAACACCAATGCCGACCTCCTCTCCACCAGGTACGTCTCTCTCTTCTCCCTCACTCTCCCTTGTTATCCCACTTCACCTCCGAAGAACCACCTTCGCCCTTCACCTCCTCTGCGCCCACAGGCAGCTATGGCCGCCAGCGCCCTGCGCCCAGGCAGCGCTCTACCGCTTAGCGCTAGCCTGCCTCTACCTCAGCCTAGTGAAGCTCAGCACCTCGCATTCGCGCAGTGTGCCGGCATTGCTCGCAATGGCCAAGATCCCTGCCCACCCGCCCTCTCTGCCTATATGCCAGTGTTGCGTGTGGGCGGCCTCCCTTGAGCCTGCGCCTAGGCCCCAGTACCTGTACCCAGGCCCAATGCGGTTGGGGCCCATGAGATGCAGTTGCGCCTCTTTCATCAAGGCCTGTGGCCAGATTCAGATAGTGGACCGGTTTTCCCATTGGCATTTATCCAACATGCATTGTCGGCCTCACGTTTATGTTCCCAGGGCCTAACCAACTCTGGGGGCCTGGGATTTCTGCATTTGCAGAGCTCCGATACTCGGTGCACTCCAACCAACTGGCGTGCTGAAACTGTATGGACCCCACTTCGTGAAATGTTTGCACAGAGGGCTCTTGTTGATTTGCTGGCCCGCTTTCACTTAGGGCGGGCACGAGGCTTGCTGGGGCCTTAGCCCAGAACATGTACATCATGGCAAGGCCCCTTCTTGAGGGCTCAATCCTCACAGGAGGAGTTAGCATAGCGATAGGGTAGAGGCAGCCATAGCTGCCATAGCTGTAGTTAAAGTGAAGTGTGTGTGTGTATGTGTGAGTGTTCAGAGTATCGCGTGTGGGATATCCAGGGTGATCCGGTGTGTGTGAACAGTGAGTTGTTTGGGCGCTGAGTCGCCATAGGCAGTTGAAAGTGAACTCAATTCTGGAAGCCATATCTCTGAGTTTTGTGTGGGCGCATGTCGCCAGTTTGTTGCGCTACTGTTTACATGCATGAAAAGTGTGAATGAGAACGAGTCTGATTGAATTGGTATCGGAGCTGGTACCCGCTATTCCATGCGCGCCGTCGTGTGCAGGGCCTGATGCGCCATAGCAGAGGTGGCCGCCGAAGGTGATAGTCCGCCATAGCGGACCTGAGGTTGGAGAAGCCGCTGCGCACCTGCAAGAAGACCACGACGAAGAAGAAGACAGACAGAGAGAGCGAGCGAGCGAGAGAGAGAGAGAGAGAGAGAGAGAGAGAGAGAGAGAGAGAGAGAGAGAGAGAGAGAGAGAGAGAGAG